TCTTAACCATTGCACCACTCGGCCGACCCTTTCTATGTTTACAATGCAAAAATGCGTCATGACTTTCCCGACTATATATATATATATATATATATATATATATATATATATATACACAAACATATATATGTTAGAAGCAAGTCAGAGGTCCACCCACACGCAAGGGGAGAGGACTGCACAAAAGGATACAAACCAGGAGGCGGGGATCATTTGGGGGCCTTCCTAGAAAGCAGCCTACCACACCAAGGACTGTTCTGAATGGCGTTTCAGGGGCCATCCCTCAAAAATGGGCTATCCCAGTGAGATGGAAAACAAATCTTGGACTTACTGTGATCCACAGTACCTCTCATTCTTCCTTGACTTTCTAAAAAGTGAATGCTTTGGGGAGACTGTGACTGCTGAACATTTTTGTTGTTTTGGGGGACAGATATTTCTTAAAATATACATTTAAATAAGGCAATCTTTGTTGAAAAAATATATTAGTTTAGGGACTAAATTTTATTCATCCCAGGACCGTGGGGCAGGGAGACAGGGGGAAAGATAGAGGGATATCTGTATTAATTTTGGCTGCATGTAAATATAAAATATTAATCAACTTAAAAGTATTGTTACTGATCCGCCTGGGACTCCTTCCCACCATCCCAGCACCCCATGCCGTGTTTCCTATTTACATATTTTCCTATTACCTAGCACTTACCTACAATTTCCCATGAAGGGCTTTGTACATCACCAGGAATCTCTTTTATTAGGTAAATTGCTTACTTGTACCCTTTGAAATATTTCACGAGCTTTCCCTAAGCCACGTTTGTCTTCTCTTTTATTATTCTATTTCTCTTTAAAGAGACAAGCCCACCAGCTGTGAGTTATGAAAGGTGCGAGAAAGAAAGGAGACGAGGCCTCTAGAACCTGGAAGGAGGCTTTATCCAGTTGGTTGAGAAGCAGAAGATGCAGGGGGAATGGCAGGGAAATAAGATCTCCGCACCCTACGGGAATGGTCCCCACTCTACCCCTAGCACATGAGGGGCCAGTGGGAGTGGTATTGAGGGTGGCAGAATGGGGCTTTGGTGACACACTGGAGAAGGTGGGAAGCGCGGGACAGCCGGGGGCAGGAGCACCAGGAACAGCAGAAACCCCTCCCAGGGGCAGTTCCAGAAGGGTCAAGTTGCAAGACTTCACAGGTCAGCCATCACAGGGTAGGATGAGAAGCCTCTAAACTGCCAATGGGAAATAAATACTAATACAACCATCGGGGAAAGAGAGGTGTGAGGTCGTGTGAAAGTACAGCCTCCTCATGGTTCAGTGCAGGGAGACAATACTGTCTAAAATGGGAAAAGGTAGTTACAAAATTCCAACACCAGCCACTTAGTAATAGTTTAGAGTCTTTCTTAAACTCAGGAGTCTCTTAGGAAATAATAACTGTGGTGAATAAACATCAATTAGGAATTCTGTAGTTTCACTTCAATTTATCTCTGTGATAGTCAAAATAAAAGTAACATTTTCATTAAAATAGCATTTCACTCTTTTATTTTAATTAAGAAATAGCATTTTCTTAAAAGCCTACCTATCTGTGTCTATCTGTCTACTTCTCTACCTTTTGCATGAGCCTAGGTCACTGTTTGGAACTCTCCTGCTTCTGGATGGTGTTCTGTGGGTGACCATCAACTTTCGTAACATCGTACTTTTTGAAAAGATTTGAATTCTTCAAAATAAGCATGTACTATGTTGACAAAATAAGGCTAATTTTTCTTTAGGAAAGAAAACATAAGACAGAAAGAGAGAAGGAAGGAGGGAGGGAGGGAGGGGAAAAGAGAGAGAGAGAGAGAGAACTCTGAAAGCAAACATGCCAATATGTTAACAATTTATTCTGTATGTTAAATGTGGACAATTTTAATTTTCTTCTTGATACTTTCTTGGGTTTTTGGTTTTTTTTTAGATTTTCAAAACCAGGTTTTTGTGTTGCCAATGACATGGAGGCTTTTGGTCTCTTTTTCTCCCAAAGGATAATTGTGAAGAGTAGGACTGCTATGAAGAGAGGGTTGTAAAATGTTTTTACTTTGCAAAATGATCCTCGTAATGAAAGGCTGGGAATGAGTGCACGGCGTAGCTTCCTTTAAATTACTCGTGCAAAATCCTGAGGGCATCTATGGGGAAGTTTTATAGGACAGACACGTAAATAAGTAACTGTTCATGTGTTGCTTCTTAGGGGTGAGTCCCACGCTGTGTATGTGGCTTGCTCAATATGCTTCCCCTGGCAAGCAGGTTGGCCACCTGGGGTGCTAATCCAGTGAGGCTCCCAGGATTTGAGCATATTGACTTAGAACCAGTCATCTGGACAGCCCTCTATTTACCTGGGAAAATGCACTGGCCTTAAGTTTTGTTTTTAGATTTACCCTTTGAGGCTCCTACCTACAAAACTTGAAGATGTTCAGATGTAAGCCTTGTGTAAATTTTATTCCTCTTATAAAAACTAAGTAAATGTCAACCTAGAAGTTTCTGTATTGTAACATTTTCTTTGGAGAAATGTTAAGCTTATCATAAAAGGAATTCTTGTGAGAAGAAAAGACCCAACTTTGTGCTTTTTTTGGAAGGTCACTGAGAACTGTGAGGGGAATTTTGTCTTCAGCAGATTTTAGGGCATTGAGAAAGAACCCCTTATGCATACTTTCAGTTTAACATGTCACTTCACTCTGGAAGAATAAATCAGTTAAAAAACACACAAAATGCATCAAACAAACCAAAAATTATTTTGTAAGAGCCTGAGGCTCAAATCAAAGAAACAGCAGATTTATGATAGCAGATTAAGTGATGACCAAGTGACCAAAATGGTTTGGAAATCTCCAATATTGCCAGGAAAGGCCGCCAAGGAGCTGGGGTGAGTCTGGGAAGCCAACACTGGAGTCACCAATCAGAATGTTGGAGCTGGAAGAGCCTCCAGCTGGACAACAGAGGATGTGAAGTTTCTTTCAGCTTAGAATGGAAGGGAAGACATCAGACAGGCTGTCCTTTGACCAAGGCCTTGTGGGAAATCTTTGGTTTCCATATAATGGGTGACGAGTTCCCAAAGTAGAAGAGTAGCTCTTATTTCCAATTGAGCTGAGGAAACTCGTGTGGCATTCCAAATATCTAGCAGTCTTGAGAAACTCCGTCTCAGCTCTACATGCATCAAAAACCAGTGATGGAAGACCCATGTGGATGGCTCTGGGGGCCAGTTTCCTCCCTACTTGAAGGACCTCATGGGCGGTCTGGCTGAGCTGGTCTAGTGAGCTCAAAGAAAGGACAGGCTGATACCAGCTACTGGGTCTGGAGGCTTTCGTGTCTAACAAGGCCACTCATTCTCTCAGGAAGCTTCCACTATGTTACATAGTCAAATTGATGTCCCCTGGATTCCTATCCCTAGAACTACAGTATGTGGGGTATCACAGGGAGGGCAGAGCCCTCTTTATGGGGACACTGACCATGGTAAGCACTGGGATAATGCGAGTTCCAGGTGGGGGTCTGCACGTGCTTTACTACTCCTCTTTGATACCTTTCCCTCAATAAACACTATATGTTTTTTATCTCACCATGTGTCACTAGTGGTGTGTGTCCTGAAAACGGTCAGAAAACCTGATTTTGATTTCTAGGGGTTCATCTTACAGATACATTTACTCATGCTATGAAGCTTATCCAAGTGTGCAGCAATGTTCCATGTTCCCATCTAACAGAGCTTGCTTAAATTTACAGCCAGACTGACGTTTCATCTGATGTGTAATCCAAATGCTCACAAAAATATAATTAGCTAAGTTTTCCAAAAGTCTACTCAAAGAAACTGTCCCCAAATCTTATGACTACATTTTAAAGCTTTCTCATTTGTTGCAGTAATGTAAAGGCACGATTCTTTGTTATTGATTATAGTTTTAATATAATTATCATTTCTTCCCCAGTATAAAAGCAACACTTGTCATTGTAGAGAATTTGGTTTATGTAGAAAAGTACAAAGAGAAAAAAATATAACCCTATAATACTCCCCTAGATATTGGGTTGTCGGAAAAGTCATGACGTATTTTTTCTATGTTTTTTGTTGCAAAAATGTATCATGAATTTTACGACAACCCAATATAATCACTCTCTTCATTTTAATGTATATCCTTCCAGTCTCCGCCCCCTCCAGCTTTTCTAGTGTGTGCAGGTTTAATTAGAATAATACTATAATTACTGTTTTGTAGCCTGATACTTTCATTTAACAATAATGTATTATGGGCATTTGTCAATGTCATTAAATATTCTTCTAAAATAATTTTAAAAGTTGCCTACTATTCTACCATTTGGATCTTTCTTGCATTTCACATATTTGAAAAAAATGCTTATAAATAATACGATAATAAACATACTTCTATGTAAATCTTGTATACTTGTCTGATTATTTCCTTGGGTTCA